TGAATCCATTATAGTATTAGAAAGAATGCAAACTTAATAAGTGCTTGACTTGTTGAAAAAATCTTCAAAATTTTTATTTTGTTCCATCAAACTTCTCAAGCATATTAATCCTTGTTCCTGTCATACTTATAGAAGTAAAACTCCTTAGATTTGGTTGTGACGTCGACCTACTTGCTTCCTTCAATTGCACAACTTCTTGTCATAGACTTTGAACTTCTTCTATAGGCGTAGATATAATACATCCATGATTTTTATTAGAAATATATGAGATTTTGACTCTTAGAGTATTGGCAAGCTCATGAAGATCTGCAATAGTTGTAAATCTATTCTCACTTTTGCTAAGAGTAGCATCCATAATCTTTTCTTTCATAGAAAAGTCAAATAAATTCAAAAAGTTAAATTAGAGGAGGGTAATGTGCAACTTTTAATAAAAATTTCCACAAAGAGGGATAATCCTCTCTCTTTAAAGAAAAGATTTGTATATTTTTTGTTTAAAGGTAGGTAGTCCGCAATCTTTAAAATATAACAATAGAAGTAGGATAATCCACTCACTTCTAAAATAAGATAAAAATAATATGTTAGTATTCTTATCAAATTATCAAGGACATGAATCTCAAAGAAATAAAATCCTTAATACAGTCATGTATTACTAAAAGGAGCTTGAAAGTCACTCAAAGATGATATAATATTTAACTAGAATGGCTATTGCCAAAAATAAGAAGACTAGAAAGACTTGGAGCAAGATTAAAGACTACAAAGGTATTGACAAGAGTGAAGAAGGCTTCATTCTTGCCTTCATATATACTCTTAATTAGGAGCTATGTGGCAATGTCCTATAGAACCTTCAAAATGTGTTGACTTTGTAAGACATGTATCTTAACTTACAAGACAAGTTTTTTATACATGCGCCACATAGTTAGCTTGTTTTGTAAGCTATTAATACATGGTTAACTTATGGATCAAGTTTCTAATCTACCAATCAACTACAAATACATGTAAAGTCAAGTAGTGTCTATGAAGCTTTTAGAAAGCTTTTCTAAAAGGTCTTATGAAATTAAACTTCTTTTATCTACTTTTATCTGTTCCTACTTAATCATATAAATATTTATTAGAATATCTATGTATGTCTATGACATCCTGTTAATTTGCATAAGTTTTGATTTTAATGAATAAGCTTCTATAAATTTAGAAGTTGTTACAATGACTTGACTTATATTTTTTCAACTAAATCTTTACTCTTGATGTCTTTTAATGAATCAATTCTTGCATATAATGGCTTGAGCAATAAATTCCTTCAAAAATTCTATTCTTTGGATTATTAATAATAAATCTAAGGTATTATCTTTTAACTTATATTGAAATTGATTAATGAAGACTTTATTATTCCAATCCATATTGCAAGCAAGGTTTTAGAATTTAATAGAATATATGATGGTTGAATGTGATCTTTGTCATAAAGATACAAGTTTGATTTATGCTATCATTTTTTGATGACTTTCTCTAAATATGGCCATGAAAGCTTTTAAGAATGAATTTAAATCATAGAATAGTTATAAATTATTTTTTCAATTAGTTATAAACTAAGAGAAAGGCCTCTTAGAGAGATGTGCACCTATAAACCTAACTTAAGTAAATCCATGAGGATATTAAAAAAGATGCAATCTTAGATAGAGTTTTACTTGTTATAAAATTTCTTGAAACTTTGATCTTGTTCCTTCAAAATTTTCTAGCATATTTATCTTTATGTCCCTCATACTTATGGTAATAAATTTTTTTAGATTTAATTGTGAACTTGATCTACTTCCTTCTCTCAATTGTACAACTTTTTGGCATAGACTTTGAACTTTATTGTTGATATCTTCCATAAACATTGGAATGCTACATCTATGATTGATATTAGAAATACATGAGATTTCTATCCTAAAAATATTGACAAGTTTGTGAAGATCTATAATAATTGTAAATCTATTCTATTTTTTGCTAAGAATATTATCTATAATTTTTTTAATAGAAAATTCAAATAAATCTATAAGTTAAATTAGATGAAGATAATTTGCAACATCTAATATTAAATAATTTTTTTTACAAAGAATGGTAGTCCATTCTTAAAATAGGAAATTTCTATAAAGAAGTTTGTAAAGAATAAATTAAGTTCAATTGTAAAATTAATTATTATTAAGGTTTAAAATCTTTTATAGAATTCATTTGAAATTATAATAGGATTTATTAAAAAATTGGTTAGAATTTTTTAGAATTTATTTAGGATTTTATGTAGATTTTATTACATTTTATTTAAAATTTGAATATGATTCAATTAGGATTTACTCAAGATTGTTTTAGCATTGAATAAGGTTTTATTAGAATTTCTTCAGATTTTTTTTATAATTTCTTTATAATTTCTTTAGATTTTATTAGAAATTTTTTAAGATTTATTTTTATATTTATATTTATTTTATTAAGATTTCTATGATTTTAAATTATAATTGTTAAATATTGTATAAAATTTATTTGGAATTGATTAAAATGTGATAAGATATATCTCAGGATTTTTCTAAAGTTGATAAGATATACTTAGCATAATTATAAGCTTATTCAGGTTGTTTAAGATTGCAAAAAGATGTTTCTAAATATCTCATGTTTTTTTTTAGATTGTAAGTACAACTTCAAGATAAAATAAAATTATTTCACAATTAAATGTCTACTACAAAACTTGTCATGTTATGTGAAAATTAGCTTATTAAATGTCTACTATAAAACTTTATATATAGAAGCTAAGATATTTATATAAGCCATATAATATAAGATTTATTTTTTATTTATACAATATCAAGTATTAATTCAAATTAAGGTTGTAATAGAATTCTAAATCAATTTAATAAATATTAAAATATATTAAAAAAAAAATGGTAACATATTGCCAAAATACTAGCCATATGACTACATAATTGACCTTTAATAAGAAGCACAACTACCTTTTGGACCAATTTACAACTTATTAAAGTATAAACTTGTTAATTTAAAAGATTATATTTAAAAAATAATTACAAAGAAACTCATTCTAAATTAAGAAATTTCTATGAATGCATAAATCTTCTCTATGAAGAAAAAAATAGATTCTTACAAATGTGTGTAGATTATTATAGAGTCAACAAATTGACCATCAAAAATTATAATTTCCTGCATTTGAAAGTTTTTTTTTTTAATTTTAATAAATCTTATTTAGATCTTAAGACCAATGTAGAAAATGGTCTTCTATTCATATATATTACTCATTATAAACTTATAATTATTAATTAGTATGCAAAAGAAGTTTAAAAAAGATTATGAGTTTTTATTAATTTATATAGAAAATAGGATTTTCATAGAAATTTACTTTTATTATTTATTTTTATTATTTATTAAGTAAAAATCTAATAAATATATTATTTTTAGTTTTATATTGTGAATTTCAAAAAAAACTTCTTTTTATTTTTTAATTTTTATTTTTTTCTTTTTATTTTATCTTTTATTTTATACCATCAATCAAAAAAAATTATCTTAAGATTTCATATCGCAACATGCAATACTAAGAGTTTTATAGTAATTATTATTATAGATATTTTTGGCAATGGTGGTTATATGTTTCAATGGCAAATGGTGGTTATAAGTCTCAATTCTTATTTATTTTACTTTTTAATCATATATCATCTTATTCTTTAGTTGTAATATTATCTTTTATAATAAAATAAATAATTAAATAATTAAATAATACTTAACTTCTTATTTTTTAACAATTCAATTCTTATTGCTCTAATAAGATAAATCTTTAATCTCTTGATTTAATACCAAGTCCACTAAGACATATATTAAAGATTCTTTATAGACAAAAAATTATGGTATTGGTCATATTCAACTTCTATCTTAGAGATAGAAGCCAATCTTTTGTAGTGATATATTACTTGCTTATCTTTCATGTTTATAAGGTAATATCAAATACTACAAGTTTAGATAATGTTGATATTTATGTAATTTTTTTAATAAGAAGTATGTCTTTGATTAACTATTGGTACCTTCTACTTATCCTATGAAGATTGATATTAATCTCTCTAAGAAAAAAATATCTTTCTTTAAGGATGTTAGATTCTACTTATAGCAAGGAAAGACTTTTCTACCATATCATCTTTTTATGACATTTTTCTAATCTTTTCAATCTATAGTTATAATTTTAAATTGTATCCTATATCAAAATTCAAGCCTCGATCCACTATTCTAAAAATGTCTATTACAATCTAAATGCACTAATTTTAGTGCTTAAAAATATGTAAAAGAGTGTTATACTTAAAATAGCTATTATATTATTATAATCACAATAACTTTATATTTGATTTCTATCAATGTGTTATTTAAAATTCTTGGAAAGAAGAGATGGTAGGTGTGTTGCTGACACATCAACTATATACTCAAATACTTTTGCAAAGTGAACTATGCAATGATTATGATCATTCATGCATCCAACTGCAATTATAACAAGGTTATTCATATTTTTGAATTAGCTAGTATTATACAGTCAAAGATTTTGTTTGACAAAATTCTTAACAAGTTTAAGACTTTTGCTCATATCATAGGTAAATACTAAACAAGGTGCAATTATAATTGTTACACACTCTCTTAATCCTTCCACTATATGAACATATCTAGCTTTAATCCTAGACTTTTCTATACTTGAACATGACTGTTTTACTACAGGAACTGCCTAATGTCAACAAGGCAAAGCCAAGGCCGCTGAGTGCATCGCGGGAGCAGCCGCCATGGTGACAGTAGGAAGAGATCGGAAAGGACCTTTCAGCGGCATGCGGATCCAGCCGTCGTCGACAGTCATCGCGAGAGTTGCATGGACTACACGGCATTATTCGAAAACCGTTCTAACCTAACTTCTACGAGAGGTCTTGCGCTGAGCAACACGTTCCCAGCCCAGACTGAAGACCATTCACAGTTTATGCAAACGACAAATCGTGGTTGCATGCTGGGTGCGAGTGCAGGAAGGCAAAGCATGTCACCTTCACTGTCGTGCGGTAGAGAATTGCAATGAAATCCTTGCATTTACACGAAAGCTATTCCATTTTCGATTTATGTTGATAAAACGGATTTCGTTGTGCAGGATTGTTTGTATGCTCTCTGTCGAACAGTTAATTATCATGGCAATATGGCAGTGGAAACTGGTTGGAGTTGACACAGTTCTATTGCTATGTTTGGGATCGCGGGAATCTACTCTTTCAGCCAAGGGGTCATGTGTTGGTCCCATTGGATTAGCTCATCGTCGTCAAACCATAGCCCTGCAGTGCCCACGCAGCTTTTTACTGAAACCATTAAACTATCATACAAGGGAATATGAGATTTTCAAAGAAATTGCTTAAAGGAACTAGCCGTGGATTGAATGAGGACATAATTATTTCACAGCGAGAATAGATTCAATGCAAGGAGTCATTCGAGTTATCGCAGTTGATATGAAACTTACCAAGTTCGCGGAGGCCATTCTCAGGACTATCACTACCGTGGACAACATTCCTCCCCACGTCGATACCCAAGTCACCACGGATGGTGCCTGGCTCAGCGTTTAATGGATTGGTTGCCCCGATCAACTTCCTTGCAGATGCTACAATCCCAGGTCCTTCCAAAGCCTGCAATTTCCTTGCAGGACATCATATGAGCTGATTCCAGGGGTACAAAGTAAAGCAAGTTTCACGATGAGAACTCTTAAGCTGCTGAGAGGGTATGCTTAGAGCCCACACTATACAATTGAACCTTTATTCACCACCCGAGTGAGCATTAAGATCAAGTGTTTGCCAATCAAAGCTCAACAAGTGGGGAAAGATATTGATTTAATGAAAGACGGGATCGTACAATGCACACGACAGGGCCTGATATGATGTAGGCAACGAGCTTTCCGTAAAATGGTTTCTCCTTTAATTCCCCGTAGTGCTCCTGCAAAGTGTTTGAGAAACTTAAGTAAGGTTTCTCCTCACTTCAACCGAAGGACATGCCTATCAATCTCCATCAAGACCAGCACGCATCCACGAAACTACCAGTTGCACCAGCGGTAATGTGATAAAACGCTCACCTCTGCAAGCTCTTTAGGGGTTTTGAACAGCTTCAATCCTATGAGCTGAAAGCCTTTCCGCTCAAACCTAGAGATTATCTCACCTACCTGCGAAAGACAATATCCAAAGCAAATCAGCAGATTCCTGGCACATTGTTAGCATTTGAGAAAGTTTCTAACGTACGCTTATCTTAACAACCATACGTGGACAATTCTCCACGTTTGGTTGCAAAGAGTATACAAAATTTCCAACATTCCTTACCAGCTTTCCCACTCCTCAGGCACTATTCGTCGTAAAGAGAAGCCAGTAACCCTACTCACAACACTAATTCCCGGGTAGTTTCATCGTGATTGACTCCAATGAAAACCCTTTCACATACAATCTAATTTATTGGATTACTTTGCAACATTATAAAACGACGACAGCGACACAGTAAGGGGAAATTACAAGGCCACGCTGAACGCCGTCTGGTTTCACCATCACGTAGCTCCTCTCGCTTTCACCCTGAATCATTGGCGAGTAACAACAACGAGCTATCTGAAAGACGCCCTTCCCACTGTATTCCAAATCCAACTCAAAACTAGAGCTGTAGCAATAGATTGTAAGACAAAAAAAGACAGAGTCTATGTAAAATGCAAGCAATGCCATAGAATTGAGGTAGATCTCACTGTGCACACCCTCCAAGGAGCAACCAGATTACGTCACATTACAAGCGTCAACAAACACCGTGGGAATCCACACCCGAAACGAACCTGCGCAGCGTAGACGCGGAGAGACGGAGCCACGGGTCGACGAAATGAAAGGGCTGCAGTGCGAGTCACGGAAAGCTGGCACCGGCCGGCGTTCAGAAAACTGGACCCCCGCAGAGATGAGACCTTGCAGCATTGCGTAAAAGAGTGAGTGGGAACAACCCCAACAGTGGACGCGGCGGCCATAGCGGTTGACATGATAGATAGATTCTCCCCCCTAACCTGCCCCTCCTCGATCACTCCCTCCTCTCAAGCTGCAAGCTGGGTTGTGGTGCCGACTGAGGATTACGAAAGAAGAACAAAAACAAGACCGCTAATGGTGATGGCGCAAGCACTGATCCGGCACCCACGTCGAGATTCCTCCTCCTCCTCCTCGCAAAGCTTCTGTGAGCACACTCTCGCTCTATTTCACAACACACACAAACTGGGCTGGCTCATCCTTCTCATTCCCGCTCCTTCCGTTGCCATGTCAGATTCTTCTCGGGTGTTCTTCAATGGGTGCGTGCCACGTGGTGTTTGATTTTGTGCATCCCTGTTCTCGGTGATTTTGTCAAAGTCGATTCACTCTTCAGAGAGTGGGATTTCAAAGTGAAGGGGAAAAAGCAAATCTTGTCGTGCTTTTACATGGCCTTTTTTATATGTTAGCACCCCAAGATTTTCTCTTTAGTGCATCTGAAAGGAGAAAACAAAAAAAACAAAAAAAAACCAGTGTTAATCTTGTAGCTACTTTTATTTGTTTCTCAATTTTGGTTTAAGAATCTTGAAGTTTTTTGTATTTGGGAATGTATTTTTTTTCTTTATTTATTTTAAGGGTATGCTATATAGATCCAGGTTTTTACTAAATTAACCTACCCATGATGAAGAATATAGTAATCATTATGAATGTGATTGGTTTTCATTGATTTTTGGATCCAATAGTGGAGAAATGATTTAGATGTTATTCTGTTTTTTTCATGTTGGTTAGGATGGGTGGGTCAATTTAGTAAAAGCTTGAGTCTATTTAACATTCCCCTATATTTTTTCTTGATTTTTTTTTTTTTTTGATTTTTTTGATTTTTTTGTTTGTTGTTGTTGTTGTTGTTGTTGTTTTTTATTTTATTTTATTTTTTTTTCCTGTTCTTGATTACAAGTGTATTAATTCGTTTTTGACAAGTTTGTATAGAATTACATATTGTATGCAATACAAAAGCAAAATTAACTATTAATTTATTTTTTCTGAATTTTAAAAAAATTATGATGATTTTATTATCTTTTTATAAAAATTTAATAGAAATACTAAAAAATCAGTCTTAATTGAGAAGTTTTTCTAATAAATGTTTTTAGCTCTTTCATTAGCAAATCTTTTAAAGAAATGTATTCAACATATTATTTAGAATCATAGCCAATAACTTTTGTAAAGAATCTTCTTCAACTAATTTAGATAGCAAGAGTTAGTCTCATCCATTTTGATAGTAGATTTAGTTTTTTCTTGTGGTTTCTTATTCTTCTTGGATATTAACAAAAACCAGTTGTGTAATATACTATTCTTAATTAAAAATAAAATTAAGAAATCTTATATATTTTGATCTTCGTTGCAAGAAGTTGTTTTTTAAAATTTAAATCTTTAATTTTTTTTCCTTTAAATTTTCAAAAATTATGACCAAAACTATAGTAAAGAGGTAAAAACAATAAAACCATAAAAAAGTGTAAAACAATAGAAGCATCATAATATAGCCAGAAGCTTTTCAAAACAAAATATAAAAATCACGTAGAAAATACTCCTCAAAGTCTTTTAAGGGAACCAAAATTTTATTTTCATTTTTATTTTTAATTACTAAAAAAAGATACTTAATATGTCATCTTTCTAAATTATCTTATATATCATCAATTTGATGTAGAAGTTTTAAATTATTAGATTTAATGTAGAAATTCTTTAAAAAAAGATTGATACAAATTTAAGACAATTTTGTTTCTTTTGTTTTGTTTCCCAAGCCATGATGAAAAATAATAACTGTATATTATCTTACAAGAAAAAAAAAACAAAACAAAAATAAGTAAAAATCAATAATCAATCATTTTAAAAATCATGTATATATATATATATATATATATACACACATATACATATGTAATACTTAGAAAAATCAACATATTCTAGATCCATCTTCCCTTTCTTCTTTGGACAACTCAAATCTTAAACCTCTTCCCTCTCTTTTTTGTCTCGATGCAAATCCCAATTCTCTCCTCCCCTTCTTCTTTGGCCGTGAATGGGTCCCAAAACTCTCCCATCTCTTCCTTATCCTAGAGTGAGTCTTGGACCTCCTTCCTCACTTGTCTTGATTCGGATCCTAGTTCTATCATTCGATGACACAAGGAAGAAGGAGAAAAGAGAATGGGAACTTACGTTGGGCCAAAAAAGAAGCGGAATTCGTAGTCAGTTCTAATAGAGGGCCTGCAGGTGGCGCATGATAACATAAGAAAGAAGAGGATGTTTTGAGGTACTGGATAACTTGCTGCATGTGGTCATAGGAATATTTCTTTTGAACATGTTTTGTAGAAAGTGATCGCACCACATTTTAACACACTTATTAAAAACTTGTTGGATTGTTAAACCAACTCTTTTCACCAAAAGCAGAGTGTATTAGTCCCTTACTTAGCAAGAAGAGGTTTTGATGTGGGGTTCTTGTACAGTTCTGTGCAGCACAAAAGAACCCCTGAGGAGCACAAAAAATAATGCTCAAAATTGACGTCAAATACGCATGAAGTTGGGTTGTAATAACTACATCACTGGAGAGAATGTAAATCACCTCTCTTAATCAGGCGAAGATGGATCACTGCCACTCAGAAATGTTAACAGCGGTCTGTGGGCATAAATCTGAAGGGAACTACCGCGCGATAAACAGATTTGATGGAGTCAAAGTGCTGGAAGATCTCTATTCTGAATAATTTCACCTGCTGGTTTAGCTTCTAGATGCCGCACAAATATGCTCGATTCAGAGAGCACCAAACAATTACATGAATTGTACCACGTATCAAGGTAATACGCTCTAGGATACTGTGCAGATCTCACTTGAAAAGTGGCCTTATTGAACACTAGCGACGCAGGTAAATCAGGTTGGTTTTTTCTGTTGAACATCATGGACATGGAAGATAGTTCGAGATTGTCTACAAAATAGCTAACCACGATGACACAGGAAACTCAGTCAGTCCTGCAACGTAACCTAGAGCACTCTCTCGCTAAAAGCTGTGGATAGATGTTGTACCCTGAACAAAGTTCGTGCCCTGCTAAAATCAAGGGCCCCGTTTTTATAGTGAGAAGTCGAATCGCAAGGTGGGTGATTTTAGCAGGGCACGAAGTTTGTTTGTTCGATTTTGGTGGATTAGATCGGCAAAGATTGCATTAAACCCTTCATAAATCTAAATTCATTCGCAACGATGATTTCAGTGAATCACAACGGGATCATGATTTGAAATTAGAAAGACGTCGTCCGACTCAATCTTAATGAGCCACGCCACGACTATAAACATATATATATATATATATATATACATTACATAGCAATCAAATTACAGTTTATTCTGAGGAATGGCGCTCCGTAACACTTGGTTGATGATTAACAAGACTTGTCAGGGAGCTAACAAGCGGTTGAAATATACAAATTCTGCTGTAAGAATCCCCCTCTAAGCTACCTCCTCAACGTCCGAATCTGGTGCATGAGGAAGAGATGGATGGTTTATTGCTCGTCACATTACATCATCGAAACGTCAAGCAGTTCCTAATTTTAAACTTGAACATGATTCGTAGTGTTGAAGTTCAATCGCTTGAACAAATGAAGAAATGTGTCGGAAAACTCCAGGTCTATATTCTACAGCATCGCAAGTACTATACAGATGAAAGTTGGAAATATGATCTCATCTTCCGGGCGCGAGCGGCGGAGTAGCAGTAGTACAAAGGCAGAATATTATGCCCAGCTCTACGGCTTCAAATGGAACATGAAATCGCCAAGCTGATGATGTACCCTCCTCTAGAATCACATTTCAGATCATTATGCATGGACGACTGTTAGCAGAAAATGAGGACTGTCTGTGACCTCCGATGAGCAGGAAGGTTTCATACCGTAGCGCAAATTGAAGTAGATTCCTGGGCTGAAAACTGAATCATTTCCTGAGGACAATGTGTCTCCTTACTTTCCAGCCACCTCAGAAAATGCTCAAAAACATCAGGATGGCATGCAATACGCAACCCGCCTTCGCAACTCAAACCATACTCTTCCTCAGACTTGGACAACAGCAATTGGAAGATGTCGTTCCTAAGGTGCGATGTTTGAATAAGAAAGCGTCTCCGCTCGAGGCCCACGTAAACGGGGAAACAGCCTTCAGGAACACCTGACGGCGGACCCCAACAGCAGCTGTCCTCGCAGTCGCAACTAGCGACAGTTTTGACCCAATTGCGAGAACGGCGGCGAGATCCAGAGGATAAGTTGGGGCAAGAAATTTCGCAACTGTCCAAAGCCTCCGAAGATGAGAAACTCGTCTGTCTGGAACTCGACAAAGATCTAGCATAGAAGCGAAAATTCGGATGAAACAATGTCCTCAAGAAATTACTGAGTTTCTTAGATATCGCCATAACCAATTCAGAAAATGAGTAGAAATATCTTCTGCCGAATTCTAATGCAAACTTCAAGGAGCCAGTCTCCAGATTGCAGTCCCGAGTGATGACCAGAGTCTCTGATCTAGTTCAAAACAGATGCACAGCCAGGTGAACACTGTAGTCATGCACAAGCAAGGTGATGCCAACACCACGGTCCAAGAAGCTTCAGTGGGAAGGTTGTGTGACATCTGACTGCAACGATGCACACAGGTTCCTTGCACAAGTCGCAAGAAGAAGAAGAAGAAGACTCAACTTAGATCACTCTCGGATCATGCATGCAATCTTCGGCAATTTCGCGGCTCAGAACATATATATATCTGCTGGAGGCCACAAGAAATACCTTCTGAGTCGGCAATGTTCAGACTCTCTTCTCGGATCCGACCGAACGACGGTCTAGTGTGACCGTAACTGTTTCCACAGTTGCCGAATGCGCAGATGACACTTGTCATTAGAATCTCCAAGAACATTTTGTTTCGCAAATTTCGGCAGTTTCACCCACCGTTCACAGAGATTTCGCCAATGTTCTGTTCAGTCAAAATTCGGTTCAACTTCTACTACTACGGTCTCAATCAATATCAATTCCCACCGCGCCAAACGGAATCTGAACTTCACAAATGTCCAGGAAATAAATCCTCAAAGCTTTCACCCAAATGGATGATGAAAACGTTAGAATTCTCTCTGCATAAATCTCTGTGGCTGCTCAACAGAAAAAAGGTCTAAAGTGCATGTTCGACCCTTTTCCGGCTGCAGATCGGCGGGTGCAGACGCTGCAGAACAACAACACCAACTTCTCATAAATCCAAGTAGATAGCAGTGACGACGACGACGACGGTGACCCCGTTAAACCAACCCCCTAAGAACCAAATCAATACAGCACTTCCAACACAGTTTGCAACTTCTCTCGAAAGGGACTTTTAGTCTTGAAAGCCGTTCATGGCCATTGTTGGCTGCATTTCGAGCTAGGAACCAGAAGAAACTGCGACACAACCACACAATCTCCTTCACTGTCCACAACCAACCGCCAGTCTGCTGCTTCGTTCAGGTCATGCTCACTAGTCTAATTGCTCGTGTAGCTCAACTGGTTTAGCGGGAGATGGGGGTGCAGCCAGGCGAGGGGCTGTAGCTCAGATGGTAGAGCGAGTTGGTGAAGCGAGAGCGGAGAGAGCAAGCTATGGCGGCGTCCTGTTTTCGAATAGGTTTAGCGACGTTGTTACAGAATGCTTAGCTTCGAGGATCTCACTTGCACCATCAGTATATGCAGTCGGTTATGGAAGCACAGTTTTTAGGACTAGTACTTGTCTAACACACAGGGTAACACATCGGGTACAGTATCTTCTGGAGCCATGACCCTCACATCGTTCTAAATATTGGCTCATATTCAGTTTCTAAGTCAAAGTTATTTGAGAATCATAGCCAATATCTCCGTCACAAAAGTTATTTGAGAATCATAGCCTCTCGCATAGGCAATGTCTTGTTAGTGGAGGAAACATTGTCCTCCGCAAGTAAGACAGCAAGATCCATGGACAAACTCCAAGTCCAAGATGCTACCAAGATCCCAGAGAAAATCAGCCTCTTTAATCCAACTCCGGATATCCCACTAGTACATAAGATCATAGTTTTTGGTCACCCAAGCCGATACTCTATATGCGAAGGTTTTGGACATGCCAACAACGAATGCAAGCAGTGGACTCAAAACCAATACACATCTCAGAGTACACTCTACAAGGGCCTGAATGCGAGACACCGGATCCGCACCAAACAGACTAGAAGCAACATCAAGGAACAATCTCGCCTACAACAGTCTCTGGGGATCTTGGGAGACAGGCCAAAACCCTCCCAATTGACGTCAACTAGAGAACACACGTAACTTGCTGCCTCCGCCTCCCCTCTTCCACTATCATGTTGTAACACAACTATATAGTGAAACATAAAAAGATGGATTGTATTATAGAAGAGCATAGTGGAAAAATATAGTAGCAAAATAAAGATAAAAGATAAAGAGGTAATAAAAACATTTAGTATTAATGCTATTTTTTTTGTAAAAAAAGTTTCTACTTACTTTGGAAGACCATAAATAAGGCAAAATAAAATAGATTAAAAACATAAATGATATAGACATCTTAAAGAAGGAGATAAGAATATTTTGTAGAAAAAATTACCTAAAGATATTACTAATTGATATCCAAGTTTTTTTTGTTGATTAAAAAGTTGAATCTTAAAAAAAAAACTTTTAAAAAGTTGTTTTAGAATTTATTTTGAGAGATTTGGATGCATATTAAGTTTTTGAGAGCTTATCAAAGTAAGAGATGTATTCAAAGGTTTTGAATTTTGAAAAATAAAATGAGGTTTATATATTTGAAATACTTGTAGGTATTGTATCAAATTTATAGATAAATATTTGTGAGATTATTATTTGTTTGTCTTTATTGTATTTTGTAAATTTGAAGTTAATTAAATAATTCCATCAAAGGATATGGGAGTTTTATTGGATTAGTATCTTGGATATTTGAATTTTAGGATCAATAATTATTTTTGTGATCTTGAAAAATATGCTAGTTCAATTGAAGCAAAATTTGTGAAAGTATTTTTGGACTTAAGTATCTATATTCTTGCCATTATATAAAGCAATTGAAAAATTCAACAAAGAAAAATTATTGCTGTCACATTATATATATTTTTTCTTGAGAATGCATCAAGCACTTAGTTATGGAAGGTAAATAAAAATGCAACAATAATTCTACCAAGTCTAATAGAGCCTTAAATAAACTTCAAGTAATCTTTAATAAATCCAATCAAACTTTAATCCATTGAAATAAATTTAAAAGAAGTCACAAAAAAAAAAAAAAAAAAAAAAAAAAAAAAAAAATCCTTCAAAAATATTTAAAATAGAAATTCTAATATAACCTTAATTGAAATTCTAATTGAATATTAACCAAATTCTAAGTCAAATCCTAATTAAAGTCCTAATTAAATCTTAATCAAATCCTAGATTAAATCCTATAGAAACCTTAATGAAATTCTAAACCCTAAAAAAATCCTAGATAAGTTCTAAATAAAACCTTAAGCAAATCGTAATTCTAATTAAATCCTAATCAAATCCTAGATCTTAAACAAATTCTTAATAAATCCTATAGCAAAATAGAATTTTTAACAACTAATAATCAAATTGTTGATATCAACTCAAAATTTGTATGCTTTTTAATGTTTGAGTTAGAAACAAGTACAAGAAAGATGAAATTGATTATACTTACTAATTGAGAGAAATGCAAGATAATCCAATCAAGTGTTAGGCAACCTTCTACTCCAATCTAAATGCTGAACTTCCAATGCCAATATCTCCTTTTTGAATTATTGAATTTCTTTTAAATTTTACCCAAACATTGGGAATCAAGTCTAGTATTCATATAAAATTTTTTCACTTCAATCCAATTGAAAAATAGTTGAAGATCTTAAAAACATTGACTGGTCCTCAAATTCCAGTTTTTGAGATCTCAACCCACAAAAATCTTTATATACTTCAATCTAACTATTTTTTTGACTACAAAATTTATAAACATATTCACAACTAGCACACCAATACATTACTTAAATTTTACTCGTATACTCTTCACAAAATTCAAGATACCATCAAATTTGTAAACATATTTTTATTTGTCAAATCCTAATTCTACTAAGAACATTACTAACTTTGAAAATCTCTCAAAATCTAAATATTGATTTAAATGAAATGAAATCAATGCTTAAAAATCTCTCTTTAAGTTTTCTCTTAAACTTTATTCTTCAATCTACCAAAGCACTTAGGAGTCACAATAGGTATGTAATTTTGTGCCTTAGGATATGATTTCGACCTAAGTTGACAACTAGTCCTCTCCAAGTATCAATTCTTAGCTTCTTAAGATAAAATTTATTAAAACTTATTCTCAACTCTTTCCTATATATATCTATATCATTTAATTTCCTACTTTACTTAATTTTGCTTTATTTATGGTCCTGCAAAATAAGTAGAAGCCTATTTTATAAAAAGGAAGCATTAGCTTTTTTTTTAATTTTACTATCTTTTGACTATTATCTTTATTTTTAAGATAATTTTTTATAATATTTTAAAATAAGATCTTCTATAATATAATATTTTCTTCTCTCTTTTTCTTATTAGCTATGTTACATCATGATATCCCTAAAAGATTAATATTTAAATTAAAGAAGAAAAATGATTGACCTCTAAGAATTTTAAGAGCTTTTTTTTTTCAATTTGTAATCTTGGTTTTCTTCAAAACATTTATACTTATTAGTTGCTTAAAAGTTGATATATAAGTAATTTTTTCGTTAAAATAAATGATTTAATTAATAGCTAAAAGAATTTTTAAATAATTATAAGAATTAATCAGGATTTATTTATGAAAAAAAAACAAGAATAATCTCAAATCAAAGATTATATCAATTACACTACAAAGATATCAGCTTGACAAAGGAATTTTTGACTTACAAATTTTTATATCATGTCCCTTCTCCCTCCTTCTTTCCTTCCTTCTCTCCTATAACTATAGAAACCTAAGTCATAGCCTTCTTGAATATCAAATCTTTTGGCCAAGGCATCAAAAATATATATAAAAAAATAAAATACAAAATATATTTTATAAAAAAAATCTAAATTTGGAAGTAATTTTTATCCAAAAATACCACTATAGCTACAAAGATTGCTTCAAATATATTAGTCAATTCTAATTCAAAGACAAAAAAAAATAAAAAATAAATAAATAAATCTTTGGCATTATCATAGATGCAAGAATACAGTTTGTGAGCTTAGAGATTAATAATAACCTCATGGATATCCTCAGCATTTATACTTTGAACATCATAGATCAATAAGCTTAACTTTGGAATATCTTTCTTTAATATTCTTTCTACATGACCCTCTGAATTGCCACAAGAGACTTAAATATGATAAAAGTTTATAATAACAAAAGCTTTGGATTTAACATTCTAAGTATAAGGTATGTTGAATAAAAAATGTGGTTAAATTTCTCCCTTTAGCTTGACATCATAGAAACCTTCTATATGGATTTCTATTAACAAATTGGTTAAAAGAAGTTCACTTGGCTTTGTCAAATTTCCACATCCAACTAGTCACAAATTGATTGATTTACATTAGCAAAGTGTTCCACTACTTTGAAGAAAAACAAGTCATTTGGCCACAAGTGTTATATTTATTCAACCACTTAGCTACTTTTTTTATAATATGATTTGAAATCCTATGCTACAAGAAACAACCACA